TTCCGAAGCCACTAAGACTCTGGATATAAATATCCAGAGAACTTCCTCAGAACTGAAATGTTCAGAACTTGACTCGAAGTTTTAAGGGTATTTTTTTTTACAAAAGTTTGGATGGAATGATATAAATATCCAGAGAACAGGTGCAATAGTATTTCAGAAATACACGTTTAGTTTGCTCTTTTAATTTGCAAAACGGAGCTATTCTTAGTGAGAGTCAAATTGAGGAGAGGACTTGGCGTTTTCAGCTCACAGAAGCTTTCACAGGTGGATTGAGTTACAAGCGAAATCGGCTTCCGAAGCGGAGAGAATATATGGCACGATGATTGGGTTGGGCAAACATTGATTGCCAATCAATGCCTACTAACGAAAACGTCTTGGTAAGAGAAGTTTACCTATAACATGGTTTCTTGGTACTAAGAAGTGTATGACCTGGGCAATCATCGTGGTTAAAACCCATTGTAAACTGATGTACCCTGCCAGGAAGTCATGACTGACTGGAATCAGACTCGGCGTCTATTGCCGCCATGAAGTCTTGTTGGCGCTGCGACCACGTGGGCGATAACTCCATTGACTTCTTGTGTGATGAGTTTGTAGATGTGTCGATTGAGCTAAGCTCGGGGGTGCCTTCACTGTGCGATGCAGGAGTGCTCTCCTGCGTAGCTGTCTTGTCTGGTGTGCCTCGAAAGGGAAGTTTAACCTGTCGCTGGTTGTTGGAGTGTTTGTTAATCAATGGTGAGGTCGTCATGTCATCAAACTTCAAACGTGTTGATATTCTCGACTTTGTGGACGACAACGACCACGCTGGAGATGTGATCCCTGGCGAGTTCTTCGCTCTGTGAGGTACAGGAGTGGTGGAACCAAGTTTATTCCTTTTGGCTGGTCTTGGTGGAGTAGAGCGAGTCGGGGGTGTAGCACGGGTGCTGCTGTCCTTACGGTGATCAGAGTTCGGAAGGGGTAGCAGTAGCTCCAGTCGCTCCATCTTGCGTTGTCGCTCCCGGAGATTCGCTGAGTAGCGTTCAATCGTCTCTGCACAACGTCGATGCAGCTCCAGCGGCGATGTTGTTGGCGTTCGCGTCCAGGTGAAGTCTATTCGACTGGTTGTCGAACCAACAACGTGTCTCGATGGCCTAGGTTCGTCCCTGCCATGTCTCCTCTCCGGTTCGTCGAGTACACTCGAAGCAGGCAATCCGTGTTCACTCTTTTCCTCGGCTGTTTCCGTGGATTTTTGATTCATCACACCGCTGCTTTAAGTGATGAATCAAAGCCTGCTCAAGCGCTTGTATTGATAAGGTGCTTCATGTCCTTCAATTAGAAGGACCGAGTGAAGCGTAGACCGTTTCAAAACCAACGCCCACCAAAACCCGTAGCATCTCGTGTTGTCCATTCTAGTGTGGTCTCAACAATGGAGAGATGAAGCCATGTATGTACCAACTACGCGGTACTAGATCGTGGGATCGAAACGACGCGAGCCAAGGCGGCGCTTGAGTGACCCTGTGATCCGATCAGCCTACACACACAAGAAGATAAAGGAGATTAGTCAAGTTTAGTAGTGACGATGTCGCTGGATGAGGTGACACGGCGTTGGCTGCAGCGCCTCGTCTCGCGAGCACTCGATGTCGAACCTTCGGCTGTCGACCAACTCCTGGTGGTAAGCAAGACTGCGGATAGCACAGAAGAGCATTCAGCAGCAGAGCTTGTGCAATCATTCTTTTCACCTAAGGCCGCAGCTGGTAGTATTTTATTCTTCTACAAGGGAGAAGAACAATACGAACTCGAAGAGGAAGTGGAAGAAGAGGTTGAGGTGACGAGAGAAGCCACCCCAACAGGTAAGTAAATTTTAGACAGAGCTGAAGTAGTTGGTTCTAACTCAGTAAAATGCTGCAGATCCTCCAAGTGATGGCTTGTCGTCAGCTGAACCGACGGATGAGCAATTGTTTCTTGATGCAGAGGCTCCAACACCGCAAACAGAGACGGTCAAGAGACTGGTGAAGCGATCACGATCAGCTAAACGCTCAGTTTGTCACGCATTCTTGAATACCCTACCAGCAGAGTCCTCGGAATCCGCTTCAGTATTCTTAATCAAGGTGGCTGCTGGACCAATTACAGTCCAAAACGTTGTGACCGATGGACACGAGAAAGTGGTGCACTCGAACGTGGAGCTTGGTTGCTCGACAGGGGACTTGCTGTCTAATCTAGAAGGAGTCATCTGCAACGTGTTCATGCCGTTACTAGATCCTCAACTTACTAGACCGGATAATTCTAACGGACGACCAGAAGGCGACGAGAATGGAGCAAAGAACTCAACTGCAGCGCATCAGGCGCTCAAGGTCATCGACGCTGTACGCAACGAGTTCAAGAGCAACTTGGTCAAATTCTCGTCTCAGATCTCCAACGCCATTCAACAGATTCAGGGCGACATTCACTTGAACATCCCTGATGTGGTTATCACGAAGCCTGAATCTCATTTGGACGACTACGAGCTCATTAACAGACTGGAACAGGCACTAGAGGAATGGTCCAAGAGTGTAGCCAGTGTAGTAGAACAGGAAATTCGCAAGACCCCAAAACGCAAGGGACCACTCGCCGAGATCGAGTTCTGGAGGGAGCGTAACGCTACATTGAGCACCATCTTCGAGCAGATCAACATGCCCACAGTCCAGAAGATGCTCAAGCTGCTGGAACTTGTTGAAGCGAGTATGCTTCTTACTTTCAAGTATCACTTCTCGGAGCTCAGTAAACTCTATGTGGAAGCGAAGGACAACGTCAAGTTCCTCACGACTTTGGAGCGCCACTTCAAAAACATCGCGAGTGGTTCCTTCTCAGCGATAGCAGACACACTGCCGTCCATGATGAACGCTATCCGTATGGTCTGGATTATATCGCGGCACTACAATACGGATGAACGTATGGTGCCGTTGATGGAGCGTATCGCTTCGGAGATCGTGGATAAAGTGGCGGTGGAGATCAATATCCACACCATCTTACGTAAGAGTCCGGATAACGCATTGCACGCGATTGAAGAGGCCAAAATGGTGCTTGAACTATGGCACTCGACATACATGAAAGTTCGTGAACGCATTGAAGCTAGTGGCACAGACCATCGCTGGGAGTTCGACCGTAAGCGGCTATTTGAACAAACCAACTACATGGCCAAAATCTGCGAGAATCTGCAAGAAGTGGCTACAGTTTTGGACCAATTCAACAAGTTTTTAGGTCCAGAACTCAAGTCTGTGACGGGAGATTCACAGGGAATTGACGAAGTTATGGCACGTGTTGAAAGTCTCATTGCACCGTTCGAGAGCGTCCCGTTTAAGATCTTCGATCGCGGCTACAAGACCAGCTGGGAGTCGGTCATGGTGCAGTTTAGAGACAAAGTGAGCGAGATCGAGCAAATGACACGGAAATTCATCGACACGTCCTTCCAGAAGCTTCGGTCAGCGGAAGGAGCGTTTGATCTGCTGCAGAACTTTCAGAACATCCAGTCACGCGACTCCATTAACAAACAGATGATGGAGAAGTACAAGGATATCCTCATGCAATACACGAAAGA